GGGGGGGGGGGGGGGGGTGTCACATCTGTAAGCAACCATTGGTTTTTATTATTTGTATCACAGTGGCATCCCAGGTAGGACCCCATGGTGCCTGGCACTGTATGAACACAAAATAACAATTAAGAAAGTATCTGAATTGCTTATGGAGACTCTCTCAATCTACTGCATACACTGTGGAGCATGTGCCTGGGTAGGCCCACACTGTGCAGAGAAGGGAAGACACTTCCTTGGCACTGTTGAGGTTGCTGCTAGAGAGCACAGCCTGTGCTCCTACTTGAATGCACTAAACCTAGAAATTAGGCAATTAAACCACTCTGGGACATCCCCATTGCTGCTCTCAAGACCACCAGAGTTAAATCATAGAAGTAGCAACAGGGGGCACCCCTGAAAGACTTCACCACGTGTTTCCTGGATTTGCTGTGTGTGAGTGGATTTGCTGGGTTGAGTGAGCACAGGATGCTGGCATGTTTGGCCTAGGTTTCCCTCCAATATCTTCAGATGTTCCCAATTTAAAAGTGGGCCTTTCTGTATAATGAGAGGTGAGAATAAAGCCCATAATCTGGGTCCATGAGCTGGGGAAGCTCTGTAAGAAGAATCCTGTAGAGATTCTCTGCATATCACAAACTGTATTCATTTATAGGCTAATATGAATCTCAATATTTTTTCCCTCTCAGGCTATGTCCAGGCAAGCATGGCCATGTGGTATGTGGTGCCGCAGGCAAGTGTACGGCACCACATACTGCACATTCAGTTGTTTTCTATGCTGCAAGAGAGCAGCACGGCGGGGGGGGGGGGCGGGTTTGCCCCCTGGATACTCAGGGATCAAAAAAAAAAACTGCAGAGAAAAAAAGCAAAGCAGCACACGCACAGGCAGCATATGCCACTCAGAAGTGGAGCTGAGATGCCCAGAGCCATGCTGCAGCTGCCATTCAGGCTCCAAACAGCAGAATTGCTGCTGCTACAACCAAAGGAGGCCCCCAGGATCCCAAGTAAGGCTGCTGGGGCCAACCCAGTACTGGCCCCAGCCTCACCTACCACACTCAAGGTAATTTGCTGCATGCCAGAGCATGTGTGGCACGGGCATTCCCTGGGGACAACTAGCAGTGGCACAAGGTGCACCACTGCTAGTTGTCCCTGGGGAACCAAACATCCACACCATGTGTGGATGCAGCCTCTGTGTTCAAGCAAAAGCCAAACTGGCTTTAGAAAGAGTTTTCCCTTTCTGAGACCCTGGCAGTTTGCCCCTTGGCCCTTATGCAGGTGAAACACCTGTCACTTTGCTGGAAGGACTATACAATAAAACCAATGTCCAATAATAAGCAGGTTATTAATTTTGATTAAGACAGCATCCTTCACTTACATTGCTTTAATTTTCAAATGTTGTAAGTAATTACACTTATTAAAGAGAGTAAAATAAAAATTAAAATGTATGAATTTGTACTGTGCTCCTAGCAATGAAGAGATTAAAAATCAGTGCTAAATTTACTTTGACATGAATACTGATTCAGTATTCCCACTGGGTTGAATTCCGAAATATGCTGAATATTGTAAGCATCTCGTTACTCCTAGCTGGCTACAGCAGGGAGCAGATATCAAGAATGATTTTGCATAAGGCATTTCAGGATGACCATTAAGGAGAAAAAAAAGAACGTTATTTGTGGGAAAATATCCATCAAAGCCATATCAGGTTACATTATTTTCCTGCGATTGAATCATACATGCTGAGAGTATTAAAATACCAGATTTGTCACCTGAACACACCAAGGAAATGAATCCATTATTGTCATTTCCACTGGTTAATTGTCATTTCCACTGTGCGAAGCTTTGGTGCCTGATTCTATTCGGTGGAGATTCGGCCCAATTTGATGGCTGAATCTCTAAATCCGAATCAAATCAGGACACCCTTTAATCTCTCCGATTCAAATCAGAACCCTCCAAATGGAATTGGAGAGATTCAGAAAGATTCAGGGATTCAGACATAGACACAGCTTTAAATGTTTTTTCTACATACCTCAAGGTACCAGGCAGCTTGTGAAAGCTGTGATGCTGGGACAGATGGAGCACTTCTGGTCCCCTTCTGGGTCTGCCAGAGAGTGCATGGGCACTCCCCCCCCCGCCACTCCCCTTGCTCGGCGACTGGTGCCTCCTCAGGTACCTCGAGGTATGTAGAAAAAACATTTAAAGCTGTGTCTATGGCCGAATCGCTGACTCTCTGAATCAGCATCAAATCTTCAGATTCGGCCAAATTGAAATAGGGACAGTGATCCGAATCAACAAATCAAATCACTGTCTCTGACTCATGCTGAATCCAAATCCTAACTGAATATGGCCCATTTCACACACCCCTACTGGTTAACTGTATAAGCCAGGTTCCCAGCTATCACAATTAAGGTCTGCTTCATTGACATTAGAGTTGTGAATATTCAAACCACCAATGAAATTGGACATCTGACCTTTTAAAACAAACCAAGCTCCCTGAATGGAAATATGTTCATGCCACAACTCCAAGTAAAGTCCCAGTCACCCAGAATATAATTGTCCCTAGTGAACGAAGGCTGATGGACTATTTCTTGAGATACATGATGGTTCTCTCTTATGAAGTTAGCCAAGTTCCAGATGGGGCTTTTGCTGCAGGCACTCTTGTTGTGTTTCTGCTCTTCATTGTGCATAGGGTGAGGCTTCATTGTGCCTTATGAGGCCTAAGCAAGGGAAGAGGGTGTCATAACTTAATGTACCAACAGTTAAGGATTTGAAAAATTACAAATCTCTACCAAACTGAGCCATTGATAAACCAGTTAGTTTTACTATATCCTACCCTGAAACTGAACTGGTTACAACAGCCTTTGATAAAAAATCATCAAGTTGAGGCCATTCCCCCAGTGGATACAAATCTTAAAGGCTAGGGACAGACATTCAGAAAGCCTGAGCCTGAATTGATTCAATCTTTGCAGGTTAGTCTAACCTGGCTAGGCTAAATCAGTTTTGTAACCAAATAAATTTTGTGCCCCTGCCCAGCACAGAGAGCATGCTGGGATGCTGGAGGGATCTCCTTTCTAGCAAGGGGTCCAGGACAGACATTGCATAAACTGGTTTGACCCAAATCAATTAAGTCTAATATTACGTTCAACAAGATTTATCTCAAACTGGTTTCAGCCATTTTCAAACTGGTTTATGTGCACTGAACATCTGTTCTGTTACAAGTTAAACCAGTTTCTGATGACTTAAACCAGTTTAAGTGTAACCGCTGTCCCTAGCCAAGATATAGAAGTTGGAATAATACTCATCTATCCCATGGGCGTATTGTGAGGTTTTGTTTACTTAAAGAGTGCATGCCATCGTGTGACGCTTATATGCATTACTGCAAAATGTTGTTTAAAATATCATCTTCCACTAAGAAGTTTGGTCAATCTCCCTGGCATTTGTTCTCTTACTTCTTAATTTCTCACACATCATGGCAGCCAAAAAATGTATGATTTGTTTCAAAATGACCAAGTCAAAAACATTAAGGAGATCATAAAGATCCAACTGGTAGTGTTACACCATATTTAAAAATGGCTGTCCACATAAATTAGGAAAGCACAAATTTGACAATACCACAAATCATGAAGCTCAAGGCTGCAATTAATTTGCATACTAATATGCATGCTTTTATAATAAAAAAATTAATTGAACCCCCATTGTACTATTTCTATGTTCTTTGATAGATGACTACAGACTGGGTGTTTGCATTAATCTGCAACACAAGTCAGCAATGACCTTTATCTCACCCTGGAGTTCCAGCAAAACAGCAGCCACAAGGCTGATTTTAAAACTCAGTGACCTCTACTCAGCCCTTGGGCCAGAATTTGGGCATTCATGCACTCGGGCCCTGATTCTGCACTGTCATAGACCATTGGAGTTTTTCCATTGATGTCAGTGAGCAGAGAATCAATTCCTAAAAGTGAAATCTTGCTTCAGTTGGCATTAGTGGAAATTTTCCAGGCAAGTATTTGACCATAGTTTGTGACAGAGAACAAATGAGGTGTACCACCTTCTAACAATGCTGACCCTTAGAATGGGAGACCACCAGCTGCCCTATTTCCAGATCGGGCTTTGTTAGAATACTGGAAAAATGTAAATAATAATCGTTATACTTCTATCAAGGATGTCTGTCCCAGACTTCAGGTGCACATTTGGTTAAAAGATGTATTTTCTCCTCCTTGGCTTTCATTATCCACAATCTGATTTAAAACAATTAAATTTATCCATCTACATTTCTGTTTTAAAAAAGCCTGGTTCCAGATGAAGAATTGGCTGGAAACTCAGCTTCTAAAACTTTAAGATGACAGGAAAAACTAGGGGAGAAGGAGGAAGAGCAGTAAGCATGATACTCAGCTGCATTCAAATGTTGCAATCTAGTCTCTGAGATGTGCTGTTCTTTCTAAACTGCTCAGACTGACCCTTTGCAATTCACAATGTCAACAGTGCCCCTCAAGAGAATTGTCCCCTTATGTTCAAACACAACTCCCTGGTATTACACTGTCTGTCATGCTCTAGTGTTATACCCTCCTTTTGCAATAACTTTGCCTCAGCACATTTTTTTAAATATCTATTTTATGGCTCTTCTTGGGAAACTATTTAACCAATTTCCATGTGCCTATAATTACCCAGGAGAAGCAGAGGATATATGAAATCCTATAGCTCATTGGATTTTTTCTCCCTTGTCCCTCACTTAAGTGGTGCCTTTCAGCATTCCTAGTTACTGTGCAAAATCAAAAGGAGGTTATCATGAGGTTTTAATAAAGCAGTCAGTCCAACTTTGAAAAAAATAAATGTGACCAATTAAAAAAAAGCCCTTTTGCAAAGAGTAGGTATGCAAATTACTGCAGCAGGAAGACAGCAGCATCTTCACTTTCTAGTTATATAGGTTTCCCACATCTCTGCAGTTTTCTGTTTAATAAAAAGCACAGGTTTGACCATGGCCATCCTTTGTATTGTATAAAGCCATAAGCTGTGCCTTTATATTTAAGCAGCAATCATTTGTTTGCATGAAAAGCCATCATTCACATTCAGGAGTGTTTGGGTCTGGACTTTGGGCTTCCCTTCCCTGAAAGCTAGGGGACAGCTGTAAAATAGGAAGCCGAGATTCCCAAAGTTTTGAGCGTATTTGTATTTTTTTGTTTAATTGCTACCACTGTACATCCATTTTTCTGTTTAATATATGTACAATTAAATATCATAACTACGAGAAGCTCCCAAGGATCTCTGCATTTCTCTTCAAAATCCATGTGTAAGATATTATTTCTCTGAGTGTGAGGACAGGCTTGAACCGTTCCAAGAATGTCACTTATTTGGGAGCCAGTCATAATTGCTCCTGGTGGCACCCTGTTTGAGAACCACTATGGTACTGCTTCATCTTACCTGGGTGGTTCTTAACTGGGATGCTGCTACTGTGGCCAGGTGAAACTGGCCTAGGCGCCTCTGTTTCTATGAGGAGCATGTAGGGTTGGACTGGGAAGGGCTGTGGCAGCACTGAGCATGCTTGCATGCTTTAGTTTTACCAGATAACCCCAATGCAGGCAGGAGTGCATGTTTCTGCTGCAGCCCTTCCTGGTCTGGCTGTGTACAAGGCATATAGGGCAGTTCTACCTGGTCGCAGCAGTGGCACACTGTGGTGTCCCTGAAAGGCTCTCATGGAAGCCCAGGCTGCCGCAGCACCCTGATTTGAGAACCACTGGCTTAGGCATTTGAGGTTTTTTTGAAGTAACAGATTCAATCTGACTAGCTCTTCATGCCCTCCCATCTGTGGGTTGTTCCAGAGTGTGCCATAACTAAATGTCCTAGGGGGACTGTCATGTCTTGTTTTTACAACTGCAGGTATGGCTGCTCTGTTGGATACAGAGAAAAGTGAGATAGATAACAACAATAAAAAAAAATCTAGCCCTGAATTGAATGGGGGTTGTCAAAAGCCTATCTGGGGTGACTTCAATTTGCTATTTTAGATAAAGCAGATCCAATACCTTCTAAAAAATCCCAGTCCTAACAAAGTGAAGCTAGTGCTTCCATGATCAGTATGGTAACTTATTATTTTTGCCTCTTAAAATATATATTTCTAACTAAAGGAAGCCAGGGTAAGGATGCAACTGCGACTACGTTGTTTTCTCTTTCACCACCATCTTACATTTTTTTCCCAAAGGTGTTTAATCATTGAGTGGTAGACTGAAAGACCCAGCAGCAGTGGGGGGGGCACTTTTCTGGTGGAGACCTTGAGCTCAGATGCTTTTGTTGATAACAACATAAGCGGAAAAGGACATAGCTCATGCTTGCTTCGCTATATTGGATAAGGGGGTTAAGAGGCGCAAACTCTTACTTTTCTTGGTATAGTACTAGATATTGTGAACTAGTTTCAGACCTAGTATAGGTTAGCTCTGGTTTCAGCGAATTTTACAGAATCAGAGGGTATTATTTTGCTGCCAGAATAGCTGTGTTTTTTCAGAAGAATAAATACCATGCACAAGTTATCTTTCTGTAAAACCTTAGTAGAGACAAGTCTGTTTTTTGTGTATCACTAGGCAAGCTATGGGAAGATATCGTGTTGACCTCACCTAGCTGCTTCCCGATAAAGGCCTCACGTCCACTGGGATTTTACACTGAGGGAACTCACTGACTCCCATTATACAATGGGTTTCCCACTGTAAGGCCACACCTCTTTTACTATTAAAAACAGCTGGCTGCAAACAGAACCTCTAAAAGTAAAGGGACAAGATATGCTTTGTCTTTTTTTCAGCTTATATGTCTGATTCTGCTTGCTTTGAAGCCAAGGGAATTTTTGCCAGTGACTTCGTGGGAATGGGATCAGACTCTGTAACTGCATTTTAGTGACTCTCAGTACCATGAGATCAAATCTGCAACTGGCAAAATACAGAGAAGAATAGAAACAGTTTACCCCTGCTATTGCTGGTTGTCATAAATCTACAATAGTTTTGCATTTCTACCAGCTCTTATGTGCCTCCATAAATTTATTTGACCCAAATTCTGTGCTGACTTTATATGCCTTGAAGCCTAGAGTGCTTGAAGCTGTTTTTTCCCCCACAGAAATCCAAAGCCAATATTTGAATAATATGAGAAAATCACAAACAGCACCATTCACTGTTTTTAATTTTGCTATTAAAAAAGCTTAACAATTTGATAATGAAATTCCAGCTGAAATTCAGGCTGATGATGAATGGACAATGTAAAATCTCATCCTCAACTGGGAAATGTTGTTTGGATACTACATAGTGAACAAATGGTAGATAAATTTCAGGCCACCCTTTTAATGCTTATAACAAGCTCCATTTTAGTGTTTCCTAATTTCCTGCCTATAATATTTTGTTATGATGTCATTTATAATATTATTTCAATGCTTTAGCTAAGCATTTTATTAGTATTTTCTCCTAACCAAAAATCTATTCATTTTGTATCTTTCAGGTCCTAAATCTCCTGATCATAAACCTGGAGTACAGTTAGTTCTTACCTATGAGGGGACCCGTCTGACAATATTGTTGAAACACATGAGGAGCATTGTAAGTCCTTTTATCATAATTTAGCACTTGAGAGACTTTACATTTGCAGAGTGCTGTGCAAACATTCATCCACACAATGTCCCTTTTGAGATAAGCGCTTTCTACAAGGATATGACAATCCATTTCTGGCTGCATTTGGCAGATTTTGTCTTCCTTCAATCTCTTTCAGCCTGGATTTAAGCCTGGGTGTAAAGCAGAAACTGTATTAAGCAGCAGTGATCCTTTGCTGGTAGTATTCAGTGGTGACATGCCCAAGATAGCTCTTTTGGCTGTCTTTAATACTGATGACCATGGGGGCTGTGTTGATCCTTGATGAGCATACGTGGAGTCAGATGCCTGTGATTCTGCCCTTTTTGAGTGATATGAGTTGGAGAAGCTATTCCTCTATCTACAGAGTACTCTTACGTGAGATACTACAGGTGTGGTACTGCTCCTGTTCAGCATGTTCATGGAATTGATCCAGTAAACAGTGAGCTGGCTTAGGTTGCAATATCGCTAGTATGATATAATATATAATATCGCTAGCATCTCTCTCTCTCTGTCATTCATTAGACCTGAACAGAAAATGATCTGCTTCCTTGGCATCTGGGTGTAATCTGGGCAGACTGGCAAAGCTCCATCCAGACTCAACAGGTGGTGCAGATTGGCTAAAGAAAATCTCTTACAGGACCTTACCAGAGCTGTATATATTCATAGATTCATAGATGCTAGAGTTGGAAGGGACCTCAACAGATCATAAAGTCTGACCCCCCGCCTAGGCAGGAAAGAATGCTGGGGTCAGATGACCCCAGCCAGATGCCTATCTAGCCTTCTCTTAAAGACCCCCAAGGTAGGGGAGAGCACCACCTCCCATTCCAAATTTTGGCTACCCTTACCGTGAAGAAGTTTTTCCTGTTATCTAGCCTAAATCTGCTCTGTGTCAGTTTGTGACCATTGTTCCTTGTTACCCCAAGAGGCGCCCTGGTGAACAGAGCATATCCAGTCCCTTGCTGTACCCTCCCACAAGAGGGTAGGCAACCACAAGATCTCCTCTGTGCCTTCTCTTTTGGAGGGTGAAGAGGTCCAGGTCCCTCAGTCTCTCCTCATAGGGCTTGTCCTGTAAGCCCCTAACCATATGAGTGGCCCTCCTCTGGACCCTCTTGAGTCTATCAACATCCTTCTTGAAGTACAGCGCCCAAAACTGGATGCAGTACTCCAACTGCGGTCAGACCAATGCCCCATCGAGGGGAAGTATCACCTCCTTGGATTTATTTGATAAAGTGCGGTTAGCTTTGCTGATGATTAGCTTATTCCATCCCATGCGTTTGGTATTTGATGCAAGGTTTTACAGCCTAGGTAGACTTCTGAATTCCCAATTGCTCCTTCAATTTCACGTAATGGCAGTGGCTAGAAGACCCTTTTATTTTCTGTACTGGGAGGTTGCAACATTTCTTGGAGCTCACTGCATTCATTCATGCCTTTTCACCACCAGATTAGAGTACAATCAGTTGCTCTAAACAACTCAAATCATGAAAATCACTCCTAAGGGTCAGCTGGTATTAAATGAGGCTGATGGTTTAGCTAAATGTATGAGTCATATGAAGCTTACCTCTCTATGTTTTCTATAGGCTATGCTGGTTTATAATTTTCAATTCAAGTATATTCATTTTGATCTATAAAATCCTATAAGAATTGGTTCCAGAGAGACAGTCCTTTCAGTTTCCACGCATAGTCCCGACAGTTCAGATCCGGGGAGTGGGGGGCGGGGGGGGGCTTTGGATGACAGATGAGCCCCCTGAGTGGTACAGCATGGTTTCCCATGTTGTTCAGATGGAACCCATATACTTTGCCTTCAAAATATAGTGAGTCCTATTTTTAGTCTTTCTTTGGCTTTTTTGTGAGGCTGGTAAAATTCTGGTTTGTCATGGAAATATATTTAAACAGCATTAGTCAGAATGTTACTGTTACTGTGCAGGTTTTTTTAAAACTATGCCAGTTCTAAGATACTCCAGACATGTGTTTTATAAAATCTGTGGGTATGTAGGATGCTTGCTTGTACATGTCTGATGTGGAAGACTATAATGATGGTATAACGGGGCTGGGGTGGCATGGGTGCTAAGGTGCATGGTTGACAGCCCAGAGGTCACCAGCTTGAGGCCATAGTACAAGCGCTCCCAGTGCTGCCTGTCAGATTCTGACAAATCTGCAAATTTTGCTAAATACCTTGTCACAAGGACACGAAAAAGGAAAGGATAGTAGTATGTGACTTACATCTTTCAGAATGACGATATAGTGCATGTGTACATAACTTTGTCTTGTGAATTCAGATAGATGCTGTGGAAGCTTACAGGGATATAGATCAGGTTATTGGAGGTACCTTAATTTTGGATTTCTGTATTTTCAAGTGTTTGCTGTACTGTGAAGTCCTGGTCTTTTGACCTTCACAGGATAGCAAGCTCAGGTATTCCGTAAGGATTTCGTTTAGTCCATAGTGGGCAGGTCTACATGAGATGCTACATTGCCATAGCGACAAGCTACAGCGACGTAGCTCATTACTACAGCAATGTAGCATCTAAAAATAACCATGCACCACTGGAACTGTGCACCTAAAGCAAGTAATAAATGACTGTGCAGTACCAAGTGTGCAGTCAGGGTCACATGTAGATGCACCTTGTAGAAATTACAAATAATGTCATTTGTCATTGTCAAGATTTTTGAAAGCAAGTCCCTTAAACTTCAACCCATTTTTGGCACCTGAATAAATGGACTTCTGGAAGGGCAAAGCACCCAATTCAGTGGGCACTGCTGGTTTTCCATCACTGCTGAAAAGCACGCCACTGGATTCAAGAGGATCCTTGAAGCAATTATTTTTGGAAAACTTTACATGTGATTTCTATTTTTTCAACAGAGACACATCTTGTCTCTCTACTTATTTAATATAACTATTATATAGTAACTCCTTCAGAACACTGTTTTTGCTAGGCTACCTTTAGCAAAAGAAGAGAGAAGTTCTTTGTGCTGTTAGTAATCATTTCACCATGCAGTTCTGTCTACTATTTTTCAGTAGAAAAGGGGATTTAAAAGTGTGCCAAGATCGTATCTTATTCAAGACATGTTAAATCTATTTCAGGTATTTCAGGTATAGTCAATCTTTTTCATTGTCTTGCTTGCTAATTATATTTTAGTTGTCCATGTGTACAGAAATTACTTTGCCATCTTGTTTTATTTCATAATTTATAGTAAATATTTTTCTCTGGTTTCTTCCCATTAATTTATTATTCTGTTTGGAGCATATGATGCATTCCAACCCTAAAATAATTTTGCTGGGATAAACTTACCCTTGAGTTAACTTCATGGGACTTACTGGAATAACAACATATGTCTTCTTCAGTGGGTTGAATTCATTAGTTATTATTTATACTATAGCCACATATGTGTACGTGCGTGCGTGCGTGTGTGCACGTGTGTGTGTAGAATAAAACAGGATAATCCAGACCCAAAGAGCTGATAATATAAGAAACAACAAGTTAAGAAAAACACATGGATGGTTTATAGACATAGTCATTTGTAGGCTTCATGGAAGAGGTACATTTTAAGGAGGGATTGCAGAGGGCAATGTGTAGAGTCTTTACAGATTTTTACACAAAAGTCACTCACACTTGTCCCAATGGGTTAGCGTTGGACAACAAACTCAGGTGAGACAGTTGTCCTGTAATATAGAAAACTGTATTAGCTGGCAGAGTGCAAGGGGTTTGACAGCTCCGTAACTGTGCCATTGCAATGTATAGTGCATTATTTGCCAACCTTCTTGTTATACCCAAAAAGAAAGAGAAATCAAGTTAAGTATTATATGCCAAACCACTAAAGATCCTAAAACTGCTGTAAAATGTCTCCCACCCTTCCCTAATCCAAGTAACATAGCAATCACTTGTGAAGGAGGCTTTTCTAGTCCAGCCTGAAAACAAAGTATTAAAATATACTTGAAAGAAAATGGAATTGACTCATAGATATTAAGCCTAGAAGGAACTCTTAATGGAGTCTGAGTTCCTGCATAACCCAGGCCATAGTTTTTCATCCAATTGATGCATCTAGGCCAGCAACTTTACTAGATACTTTGGGCAGCAGTCTAAGAACAAATCTGTGGAACTTGTCAGAAATGTTTGTTCACACTTCAGTTTAAAGCCTGTGGGCAAATAGTAAGGGGAAAGGAAAGTTATATTCAGCTGCTATTGACTGAAATGTTAAAAATATTGTCAACTCTCATGATTTTGAGTTTTGTGATACATACTGCTTTTCTTGAAAGCCTAGTTCCAGGTGTCATGTGCATCCTCTGGAGTCTGTTTTCATAAATTTTCAAAAGAAGAAAGTTTTTAGCCTTCAGGGTTGTATGGAAAAGCTTTAAATTGTGCCCTCTATAGGTGCAAAAGCCAGAAGACCAATAAGAAGTCTGGAATTTTGGAGGGCTAGATCCTATTCCACTTATTAGGCACTTAAGTGTGATCCACTCCCTCCCTTATCAAGTCCCTAAACACCATTAAAGTGAGGTCCTGCATCATAATAGTTCAATGTGTACAGTTAGTAATGGCATTGCTAGTGCCATTAGTGCAGAGATGCAGTGAAGTTGAAAGGCTAGAAGCAAAAAGGTAATCCTTGTCAAAGTGAAAGAAATTAGAGAAGGGGAGTGGACTAGAAAGGAAGGGAGATTTTGTCTTCGGTTTTGTCTAGACCACAGCCTTTTAATGTCAGGCATTGGTGCCCTCCAATATTCTGTACTGTTCTGCATATGTCCGCCATGACTATATGTATAGAACCTATGTCAGTGCAGCACTGGGAGAGCTAATTAGTGCTGCCACTCGACAGTGCTAATGAGCAGGCTCTTGCTGCCATGTTAACATGGCTGCATTACTTCTGATCAAGGGGAAACATGTATATGTTTGAGGGTGCCCTTGTCTCATGCAGTAAATGTGCAGTGTAGACATGGCCTCAGAGTTACAGGGGACAACACTATGAGGAACAGGGAT